ACTCAAAGGAAATTTACCTACATATCCCTCAATATACTGATACTGATACTGAGCTGAATGTTTGGGCAAGCATTTTAACTCCACTTTGTGGCATGACGCACATACGTTGGCTCTCACTGTCGGTTAAATCATACTTTACTCAGGCACCCGTCACATGCAACAATGAACGTCTCACCCGCGGTCCAAAACCAATATTCGTCTGCCTAAATCGATAAAGAATACCACTGGCCTGAATAAAAAGTGGCGATAAAGATGACTTGCACGACATCGGTCTGGATGTCAACGATGGACTAATGGCAAGACACGATCAGGAGTGCATGTGGATTTAAGTGCAAGAGTTGAACTGCCGATGCAAGATGAGACACAACACGCCTGAATCCTTCCTACCAACTCAGTGAGGCAACACACAATTGGTAAAATCTTGGAGAGGACAGGCCCGTTTCTCTCGATTAACACCGCCAGTCAAAGTAGATACAGAGAGACGTGACTGTCAGATATGAAAACCGGGAAGTAAGCGGGCCCAGACTGATTGTCCCTACCCACGTACTGCAAAGCTTTCACATTGCAACTCAATTCAGGAGCCAAGGACAGACATCCAAATGAAAGGAATAAGAGTTGTTATTTGTGAAATGTACCTTGGAGCCAAGACAGAGGAGGGCACCTTCGGTTGGCTGACCGCAGAGAATTCCGTCCTTGAGAGAGGCGTTGTTACAAAGACTGGCAATCTATAAATAGGAAAAGAAAAGAACAGTGAAAAAAACAAATAAACAAATTAATAGATGGGTTCAGATGAGTTTGATAGAGTTGGGCTGCGCACCACACTACGTTTTTCGGAAATGCAAAAAAAAACAGCTGTTTGCCAAAACTCCTGTTCAATTATAAAATGGAAAGTTTCGCAGAATGAAAAAAGCGGGTCGCAATCTCTCAAAAATCATCTGGCATGCTGAAGCATGCTTCTGAGCATAAAAGAAAACCAAACCATCCTAATTTCAATCAAGCATGGCGAACTGCGAGTGCGAATCTTCGCAGACAACTGCCAACTTAAACGAGTTACACTATTTGCCGGCCAAGTAGTGGACAAACGTCAAGTTAATGGGGCGATTTTGTGCAACTCAACATTTAAAAGGCCGTATATTTGAGTTCGGAGACTTCTTTAGAACTTTTTCAGTCCGGGTAGGCCTAATTACGAATCATGCTGGTTGCTTTAGTTGCAGCAGCGGAAAACTAGGGTAGATGCTCCGCTCGACTGCTTTTGTGCGCTAAAAATTAAAACAGCGAACACAGTATGGAGACAGGGATAGTAATAAATTTAACAAAGGGGGCTTGGGAGAAAAAGATGCCATCACTGAAACAATAACTTTATCTTCCTGACGTTTCGAATACTGTCGACAATCCTTAATCATAGGTTACCGTATAATGGTGTGAGACATGTATAGATTGGGGTCGGGTGCAGTTGTGGACAAAGCAACTACGTCGGAGGAATCGGGAGACTACTCCGGA